GGGGGGGGCGGGATCGGTTTCTTGCACGCGTCTCAGGAAGGAGATAGGAGAGGCCCAGACCAGCTGTGTGTGTGTGTGTGTGTGTCACTGGGTGTTACGACAGCGGGGAAACCCGAGCGTTGCTCTGCCACAGGCCTCCCGATCGGGCTGACCCATATCGTCTAACCCGCTCTGACCCCTGACTTCTTACGGTCACTACAAATCAGCCGTCTGATCTCATTTAAAATTGTTACCATTTTTTAAACAAGCCGATGGTGTTGGCAGAGTTTTTAAAGTCCCAGTGTTGCCGTGGCGATATATTACTAAGTGTGTGATGACGCACGAGGTGTGTCCGTTTCCTTTTCATTTGGAAATATCTGAATGTTGCATTTGGAAAGGTGTGTTTGCTATTCGACCTGCCCAGAGACGTCCCCCCAAAAAAAAGAAAAAATAGAGCACCTTTATTCCAACGCGCCCTCATTTGAATAAGCTGCTAAAAATCATTAGCTTCTCACTGTTGGTTTTTCTGTTGACTCTTCATATATGTTAGGGTTGTCACGATACTAACATTTTCAACTCGACACCGATACTCAGGAAAACATTCGATACCATAAGCATAAAAACAAAGACCCCAAAATTTAACTGAATTTCAACAGGTTAATGTCTTTCGTTTCAAACTGGCCTGTTGCTGAGGTTATGGTGGCCCACATTAATGTTGGCGTGTTATTATTAACCATTAGCCACAGCTAGCAATTCAAGGCTAACGTCACGTTAATGATCATAAACAACGTAAATAAATAAGTCAGAGAGAAGGGGCACAACGTCGGCAGGTCAGCATCACGCGCACGGGAGGGTCGGGCGGGGGGGGATATGGTAGCTTTTGAAAATAAGTCTTGTTTTGTATTGTTTTTTTTAGTATCTATACTTTTTTGTGTATCAGTTACTTTTGACAACCCTAATCTGTGTGCAGATTTTTACGTGTCTTTTGTGGGGGCGTGTTCTGAAGGGGGGGTGTGGCCTCTGACCTCTCGCTCTCGTCCCAGCGGCCCTCGGGGATGGTGGGCAGCTCGGGCGCGCTGCGGTGGCAGTGCAGGTTCTGGGCGGTGCGCCGCGACACCACCCACTGCAGCCGGCGGTGGTCGGGCTTGCAGCACTCGGGCGAGGCGTAGTCCAGCAGGCACTGCGCCACCCGCTCACTCCACAGCAGCAGCTCGCAGTCACCGATCTGACACGCACACACACACACACGGGTCAGCCGAGCCGCCTGCTGACCAGCAAATCAATCCAATTACTTGTTAGCCAACTTCCTGAAAAGCCTAACTGGAGATAGACGCCCGGCTGCTTTTCCAGGTTAAGAGGTGAAAAGAAAGCAGGTGGGGGGGGGCCGTACAGAAACCTGACCCACTTCAGACCGGGCCGCTGGCCTTAGAGCCACCGCCCGTCTCAGAATGATTCAGGGAAGCGTCCTAAATAAATGCAGCCTCTAGCGTCTCCTCTGTGAGCTACCTTTTCTGTTCAGATGCTAAAAGCGTGGCGCCTCCCCCTGACTGAGTGCTTCTTCCTGGATCGGGGGCCGTGTGTTAGCAGCGTCCTACCTTCAGGTGTCTCTGGATGTGGTGGGCGATCTCCAGCATGTCCTCCGACCGGACGGCTTCGATCCCCTGCCTGAGGAGGGCCAGGGCCAGGATGGACGGCTGGACGGACAGAGCGGGACCACAGGAGATGAAGGCAAACCGGGGACGAGGGGATTTGTTTTTTTTAAAGGTGGATTGGAGCTCGCGGCTCGGCCTCACCTTTGCTTTGGAGAAGGAAATCCGGCACAGACAGGCTTTCAGCTGGGCCTCCAGTTTCTCCAGGCTCAGAGTCTCCGTCCTGTTTACACACACACACAAACACACACACACACAGGTCAGTGCCGGTGCGTCTTTAACACGCTGTCATTAGTATTAGGGATGTCCCGATCCAGCTTTTTGTACTTCCGATCCAATCCCGGCCAGTCAGAGCATGAAGTATAAAGTTATTTAGCCTACTTACTTATGTTGAACAGGGATTTAGTCTGATAACAACTTAATGGTTAGGACACAGACCTGTGGGTTAGGATATGCTAATGCTAATGCTCATGTGGGATGGGACTTTTAAAAAAAAAATGGATCGGGAGTCTGGATCTGCATTTTCTCCTGTCGGCCGATACGCATTTCTTTGAAAATATCGGCGGCCGATCCGATTCAGATATCGGATTGGGACACGCCTAGTTAGTATTATTATTATTTAACCCCGTCAGCCACCGAAACAAGACGATTGACTCAATCTGACTCATCACTGTCTACTTTTGGAGAGTCACTCTTCATAAGAAACTAAGAAGCATATTGAAAACAACACACTGGAGGTTACGTAAGCACGAGGTGTTCGTGTTCTTATCGGCACCCTTTGGCCAGACGGGGCCTGGCCTACATTACCCACTGATAAAAACACCAACACTGTCTTTGTGTCGGGGGGGCGGGGCCTAAGCCCTCCTCCTCCTCCTCCTCCTCCTCACCTGTCGGTGGAGTGGGAAAGTGCGATCTGGTGGTACAGGTGCAGGAAGGTTAAGGCGGTCACAGCTTTGGAGCTGAAGTCCAGCTTCTGGGCGATGATCTTCTCCATGCGGCTCAGGTCGGACACGGTGAAGCGGCACTGGCCGATGCGGATGAGCTCGTCGGTGGGGGTCAGGTTGCACTCCTCCTCCGTGGCTCTGGCCGCCATGTGCAGGCAGCTGAGGCTGACGCAGGACAGGTGCTTGGGCTGGATCTGGGCAGGTGGAGGG